ACAAAAAATTTTTTGTTTATTGTGCCCAATCGGCGAACAGTTTCTCCTGAGTTCTTTTCGTGAGTTCGTACACGACGGCTTGCCACACTTGCCCGGTTCGTTCACCAAGCTTGTGCGAGCAAGGGAAACTTTTATTTTTATTTTCTACTTTCCTAACCAGAAGCGAAGGAACTACCGATGAGTCGAAAAAACGTTTGGGATGCTATCAGCAGGAGCAATTGAATTTGTCCCTACTATATTCTGTTTGTGACTCATCACAATGTGTCGTAAATAGATGCGGCGGCTACGACGAGAAAGTCAAATAAGCAATAGCTTGACAAGGCGAAAGAAGAACTTTGCACGTGCATCACACTTTTTTGTACATTTCTTTGCCGTCAACTGCACGACTACCCGTGAAAATACCTAATTTCATTTTTTGTGAAGGACGTAAACAAGCAATGACAAAATTCATTCTCTTCATGAACTTGGACATGGTTGATAGAAATTCAGCTCCAGAAGAGTTCGCTTACATTTGACAAAGTAAGCGAGTTGGAATAATCACGATAGAAACTGAAAAAATGTGAATTCCCTTTTCATGCGACTTTTTTGTGGTTGTCAGCCGTCGTGGTGTCTTTTAAAATTCCTTCATATCTACGCAAGACGTGACCGATGCAAGCGTGAATACCTGTTGTAAGCTCAAGCTTATATTTTTGGAAAAGCGGGCAGGCATATTTTTTGGAAAAGCGCGCAGACAGTATTTTGAAATAATTTGGGGATTTTATATTAAGCTGAAAGTTTCCTGACAAGCCGTGATCGAAACGATAGCCGTCGTGTACGAACTCACGAAAAGAACTCAGGAGAAACTGTTCGCCGATTGGGCACAATAATACAAAGCATTTTTTGTGCCCAATCAGGAGCCTTCGTCCCCTTGAAGTTTTGGAAATAGTTCGGTGAGAGTCGGTACCCAGGGGCTTTTTCGCCCGTACTTGAAAACTGTCGTCGCGCCCTTTCTCCCGACTCGACTGACTGCCCCTGGGTCTCCGAGGATGGAGAGGGCTCCGAGCTCTAAGTCAATACGACCTCATGGGCTATTGACTCAGAGGCGGTGAAAGCGAGAGGAATAATTGTTTTAGTAAAATCAAACTAGTTGGTCAAATATATCGAGACAAAACAACTTAAGCTCGCAAAACGCGATTCAGCCGTCATTGTTTTGGTTTTCAAAGCCGGTGCTTTTCGCTAATAGTGGTATATAACATATAACCTAGTAGGAGCTCTTGAAACCAATTAGAACGCAGCATTGATAACAGACCACTAGTTGGATTTTACTAGTTGCAAATACCCGCGCCATCAGCTGATAATAAACGAGGTGGCAAACTCCTCTCCGGGCCCTGACTGAGTAACTTTTGTCATAACAACACTACTCCTCTTCCCCTCCCTTATTTTTGGCTCCCAGATTTTGAGAGTCACGTGACCAGCCGTATCCAGGGTTCTCTCTTGAAGAAAGAGAAAGAGCCCTGGGAACGAGGTTGCTAAGCGGCGACGTCATTGAGAACAGCAAAAAAAACAACAGCAACAAAAAAAAAACAAAGCAAAACAAAAACACAACAACAATAGGTCTAATTATGTCTAAAATGTCGTATGTCCTCACAAAAAAAAAAATTACTGCTTGTGTTTCTGTTCCCTTTCGTTTTCACTGCCGCTCATTTTCTAATTACTGCAGGGCCGAGTTGTTCAAAGCTGCGTTAGGATAACCCAGGGTTAATGCGAAATTTGAATTCAGACCTAGATTTGCAAGGTGAAAATCAAAATTCAGTTTAATTCTTTTTGTCTACATTATGATGATTGGACGATGTTAAGTGTACAGAGAACATTTCCCGAGAAAATGCTTTCGAATAAAAGGAAAAGAAACCCGCATTAAAATTTAAGCTCAGGTTAGCGTTAATCGGCCTTTGAACAACTGAGCCCTGGCCACTAACATTTCTCATTTTCACACCACTGCTAAAAATTGTTCATGTTGTGTTTCTAACGAAATTTTGTCTCCTTTGTTTTTTATCTCTCGCTCTAGCTCTTTCTCTGTTATCCACGTCAACCTGGACGTTAAAATCAAGTCCAAAAAGAGACTCGGCTTTCTTGATGTTTTTTCCCTCTAAAATTCTGGGTGTCCAATATGACCGTAACATGGACGTCTACCATCAAGTTAAACAGTACAGGTTGCGGACGGAGCGCGTAAGGTCACGTGGTTACCATAAAAATTTCTCCGGATGCATGTTTTGCTGCTCAGCTGCGCGTGCGAGAGCCACGCTATGAATTAATGTTGAGATGATTGATGAGAGTGGGATAAAGCAAACAGAAATCAATACTGATATGCATATAGAAATAAATTTTATTCTCTGTACATTGATATGCAAACAGGACAAGTGATGGATTGAAAACAATCCGTCCATTCACAACTATCACATCTAGAATAAGCAAACAACAGCCTTTTTACACTTTCCTTTTTTTTATTTATACAACACTGAACATGTATATTATATTTAAATCAAAATTATTAACAGTACTTAGAAATCCTTAGAAATAACGTACTTGTATGGCCACTACATTAACACAGAAATCAAGTGAAAAATAAACACAATGAAAGACTTCTAAATAAATTATAAACCGAAATAAAACTTCTTACATATCTCAGACCGGCTGAAAGCCATTTAATTCTAAAGGTCACTCCTCATATGCTTTCCGTTTATTGCGTCTCTCCGTCTGCGAATCAGTTCTCCTTCTCATTAGCCACCAAAACCGTACAAGGTACGTCCTTGGCGTTTAAGCGCGTATACAACGTCCATAGCGGTAACTGTCTTTCGTTTGGCGTGTTCTGTGTAAGTCACAGCGTCGCGAATGACATTCTCCAAGAAGACCTTCAGCACTCCACGTGTCTCTTCGTAAATTAGGCCCGAGATACGCTTCACGCCCCCTCGCCTAGCCAAGCGTCTAATGGCGGGTTTGGTGATGCCTTGGATGTTATCTCGAAGGATTTTCCTGTGTCTTTTAGCTCCTCCTTTACCCAACCCCTTTCCACCTTTGCCTCGACCGGACATCTTTTGGTTATTTTCTTCTGAGGCTCTCACTGTATCACGGCTCTGGAAAGGAAGGAAGACGCGAAGAAATAGAACGATGCATTGTTTCTTTAGCGCTTTTATGCTTTTTCGCTTTAACTTCGCGTTTGTAACAAAACATTGCAGCCTTATTGGTTAAATCTTTTTACCCTATTCACACCTTAAAGTTTAAGAATTTCACAGTAATAGATTCACATTCCCTTATTTTTGTCATTAATATGATATTTTTTCATTGCGCAATGCATGGTGCAATTCTTGCAGGATTCAGTGAATATTGAAGACCAGCAACCGTCAAGTATGCGTAAAATGCGGAAGACCATCGTGACGACATAAACCGATAATAGGCCATTGCTTGATGACGTCATTTTACTATTACGACCAGAATCCTTCAGGGTTTTCATTTCTTATGCAAATTACGGCTTTTGTTATTTAAACCTCGCTGGGATTACAAAATTTAAATATAAAAGGAAAAACGAAAAGGATTGTTGTGGTAGTAGTAAAACGACGCCATCGTGCAACTGGCCCATTAAAAACATTATAATAGCATAAACATTAAGGGTGGGCTCATTTGCAACATTCTCGTATAGTTTCCACATTTACTCGGTGAAAAGGTATGAAATTTCTATAAATATCGATTTTAAACAGCTTATAGCTTAATGATGTGTCTCTTTCGTTCGATCATGACAAGAGATACTGAATATACATCTCACGTTCAATTTGGGATTCCCTAAAAACAGTACACATCAAAGCTATACACTCCTTTAGAATTTTAAAGGCGGCTCAAAAACAACCTCCCTATTTTTTGTCATTTTTTTGGGGGGGGGTGGGGTAGGGGGTGGGGGAGGGGACTAAGGGAAAGGACGGACTCTTGTATGCACTTACCTGATACAGCGGAACCTCGATATAACGAATGCTCTTGTCTAACTTTATAGACGAACTGGCATGGAAACGCCAGCTACACAGGCAACCATTCAGCCTGACCATTTTGGTTGCTCGGGTAGCCAATCAGATCAGAAGATAGCCTGCTCCAGGCGTTCAAATCGTGGTGGCGGCTCGAAGAGATGTGAGCAGACAAAAACAGTGAGGGGGTGGAGCTAGCGGATTCAGTGGTCAAACAAATTCACGTTTCGTTCAGAAAAATCCATAAACTCCAAAATTAACACCCCCTATAGGAGACGATCAGCGTCCTCGCGCTCCAGCTTTCATATATGAGTCTGATCCTCCTCTACTCCCCGGGAGGAGTAATCAACAAAATACAAACGGGGAGGTTGAGGCCCCGTCCCGAGATCCAACCCTTTGCCCAACCTCGTCCCCAGGGTGCTTTTCCTCCTCCAAAGCCAGGGAAAAGTGCCCTGGGGACGAGGTTGCCCGTTGCCTTTAATAAAAGGTACCCCTTTTGTATACCTTCTAATTGGCTAGTTTGGAACTTTGCGTCCTTTTTAGCTGCCGTAAATGCAGTGTCTTCGAAACATATGAATAAATCAAACTGAACCATAACGTTTTCTCGACTTTATTTTTTATAGCCATGCATCTGTTAGACTTTTTGGGCTTTTCTGCAGACACGCAAAGTCCAAAATCCGGGCCCAAAAAATTGATGAATCCTCATTCCGCTGCAATTGCAGGATCCGGAAATCCGTTAAAATATCGCTTTGAATCCGAAATCTGGGCAAAAATATTTTCAAACTCTGCTGATACCCTCTTGAAGACTGAATCACAAATTGTAGGCAGTCTGGCATGTTCACAGGGGCCAAAAAAAAAATTCGGCACACTGCTTCACACTTCTCCCTTTTTGTGCTTCGTCATCTGAGAACACGTTTCTCAAGAACAGCGGTCATCAAAGGAGAATTAAGCGCAATTGAAACTACGCATAGCTTGGCTGCTAAGCTATTAACGCAATCTGCCAAATGATTGCGCAAGCTTGCAACTTTTTTTTAAAGTATATTAGGTAATCGAGCAAGAGGGGAAGAAGCCTTGCAAAGAATACAGCTTAAAAATGGAATCGTCGAATCAAAAAGGAGAAGCTAAGACGGCTAAAGGTGTCAAACGTCCCGCGGAAAAAGACCCAGACGATGATTATGTTAAGAAAAGGGAAAGGAACAATATTGCTGTGCGGAAGAGTCGCATGAAAGCCAAGGAACGGATCGAAGAGACTCGGAAGAGGGTCGTGGAGTTATCAAAAGAAAACGAAGAGTTGCGAAACAAAGTGTCTTTACTTCAAAAGGAGTTGAACGTTTTAAGATCTCTGTTTGCTAACGGTGGGATTACAGTTCCTTCGGAAATAAATGTTCAATTTACGAACTCGAACAGTGAAAACGTAAACCAAGCTGTAGTTTTGACCGCTGTCACAACATCACTGGCGAACGGATCACTAATTCAAGAAAATCGCAATTCAGGAAGCGAAGGTCTAGAAAATGGAATGAATAATCATGTTATCAAGAAAGAATCATAGCATACAGCCGTCGATTGAACTAACAGCTGAAACATTTAGAACTTAGATTTAGAAAATTTAAACAGTAACTAGTAACAGCTGATATGATGTGCCTTTCACCTTTGACTTTGTAGCTAAGACTGTCACTGTCACTCATGGCTGCATTTGTCAATTTTCACGCGACGTTGTTCGTTTAGAAGTTTTATTTATTTAGCTGCTTATTATACTAGGTTAGCTAGGGTCATTTTGGTTGGTATCTGTTTTTGATTAAGGTTTGATAGGTAATGTACGTAATGTATTGTTTGGTCACGATCGACTGAATGTCACGGTGATTTCAAAGTTATGGTATAGGAAAATTAGCAAATCTCCATCAAAACACAGCTAATGTGAGCTCCTTGAAATAAGAGAAGACCTCACCTGGGGTGCTTACCATTTACACTAACCATCTGGGTGGTAATCTTGTGCATAAACATCAAACTACAAAATTTCACATGCTTGGAGAATGACCTGCTACAAAGTATATCCAAATCAGCTGAACAGACTAAAAAGAGTAGAAAAATTGCATGACCTCAGATCATAGCCCATGTTTATTCCAAAGGAAGTGGCAAGAACCATTTTTAATTACAATTTCCCTATTTGACTATCATGGAAATGGCAAGTATCCCAGATTTTGATGTCTTAAAATAAGGAGACAATCACACAAAGTTTTGTGGCTGGCATATATGATGTGGAACCATCTAATACTCATTATTTTAATGGGGGAATGATTGAAAAAATTTCTCAGGAAGGCCAGATAACCAGGTTACTATTTTGAAAGACACTGCTCCACTTTATTCTTTTGCTTTAGTAACAATCATTTTAAGGGGCTTTTTTCTTCCAGTCACATCACTAAGGAATAAAATAATAATAATAATAATAGTAATAATATCATGTAGTAGTGATCCATTTGTACTTGAAGTTACTCTATAAACAACATAAACTTTACAATGTAATTATCTTGATGTAAATTGTGCTTTTTTGAGTTTTTTTTTCACATTAGTTTATGGCAAGCTTTTTTTTTAAACACTGATTTAGATGAATTAGTAGGTTAGAGGATCTCAGCTTTCTACGAGTGCTAATAAGAAATTTATAGTATTTCCCATGGAAGAATTTTGCTGTATAACAGTATATTAACTGTATTTGAAGAAAGATTACTAGAAATCCTTTTGACGAGAAGATATATATGATATGTTTCAGATTAAAGAACTGCCTGATGTGAACTATAGTATTATATGGTGTAAAGTTAATTTTAGTTGTCTCAAATTTAGTCTTTTCTGTAGGCTCGATCGCCAGCTACTGTTCAGGAGATGAACTTGTGCTTCTCCCCAGAACAGTTCCTCTCAGGGAGGGCAGAGAGGGTGGCAGAATCGAGCCTATCGATCTCCCCTATTAATAACTGCTGAAAGAGACGACTCAAAACGGCAATCCATTATCATTTCTAGGACCACATTAAAGTTCCATCTTTTGTCTCATGTTAATGTCTTGTCATGACAATATTTTGCTTTCTTACCTCGCTCTTTACTCGTATGTTTAGATTAAACATTCCTTTTGAAATCCACACTATCATCAGTGATCTTGGGCAGTTGGTTAGACTGAAAGATAGTCCACACAGGTCAGGAAAAAGTTACTTTTTGTTGGTATTAATTTGGACAAGATGCAAATGCTCTTTGCCAAAACATTTTTGACTCTTGAGGGAGTCATTATTTGTGTGCTAATGAGCCATCTGAAGGTGACTGAAGACAGGGTAGTGGGGTACAAGCTGTTAATGAGATTCCTTGTGCCCCGGAAGCTCTTTATAAAATCCCTTTCCATGTCGCCGAGATCTTCTTTGACCCAACAATCTTTCCTTAGAGTACTTGTAGATTATAGTACCAATGGTAAGTGAAAATTCATAGGAGCTATAGATAATCTGAAAATTTTAAAATAATTTGACAATTTTGAAAACTCAAATGAAAGTAGCGCTTGAGTCAACCTCCCACACTGGCATGCCATCGGTTAAGACTGGGATGATCATTGTCGTTGGCACCTTCTGTTTCCCTACTGCAACAGAATCTTGGCAGAGTTGTTACAGGTAGCTTGGCAGCATGTAAGATAGCCTGTAATAGGCTCTCAGATAGTACGGACATTGCACAAAATAAAAAAGCCAAGTGAAAATAAGACACAAGATATCTCTCCCTAACCCGCAGGCATTTGTCACATCACTAGTCTTATTGCTAAACAACTGCACTGCTATCTTGGTACCCTCGGTTCCAGAGGTTATTTTTCCCTTGTCTAATTTTCAGGATATGGCTTATTTCATCTTAGGTATTCCTCTAGAATGGACCACTGCATGGCCGACAAATTCTCCCTTCCCCTTCTAACGCTGGCCACGCAGGCTACTTGGAGCCTGGAACAGACCACATGTGACAAATGATATTTTACTCCAAGGAATGCTTCTAAGCAGCGCCCAAAGAAATTTCGCTCAAAGATCTCTGCATAGCAAGAAAGCACAACACAAGATTTACCAGTAATCATTATTTTATTTCAGAGCTTTTATTTAAGCAGACATGCTTCCTTCAAGCTGCTATGTGGTAGAGAATATTTCCATAATATTCAACAGATTGTGGCACCCTAACATCAGTTCATACTTCTTAGTGATTTCTGCTTCACTCAATTAGACTTGACTTCACAAAAAGTCACCTTAAAGAATCTCCATCTCACATGGTTTGACAAGTTCAGAGTCTCAATATAATCTCTATCTAAAAGCAATAAACATGTCATTCCCTAAAACTTTTGTCTGCCTCTGGTTTGAGCTCAAGAAATAAATAGTTCTGAAGAATGAACCTAATATTTAGACCAAGAAAGAAGTTACTTCTTAATACTAGCTTATCAAGATTGAACTAAACATAAAGACTTTCACAATGTCCCTCTTAGTCGAATGGTTTTGTTTTGTCAAGTACCTTCTTAAAGCTTTCTTTGCTTGCTTTCAGGTTACTTACAATTTTTTTGGCTGTACTATTGACAAAAAGAGGTCAGCTTGGTGCAAGTTTAGGCAAACCTCAGGAGCTCTTACAGTCAAGGCAGGTCAAGCGTACCCCCCAAGGATTTTATTAATGAATTGATTATTTGAAAATGCATCCATTAGTCGTTCCCATAACGTGTCAAATTCAAATCGGCATTCCTGCATGCGTAATGTGCAGTGAATATTTTACAAAAACTTCTCTGTATTTGGTCAGATTGAAAATCCTTGAATGGATTAAATTTCTTAAAAGACATTAACATCAAATTCAGGAAAACTGAGCTGGTAGAAATTTTGCTACTCCCTCGTGTGTGAATTCACAGCTCATTAAGCATGCAAGAATGCAGAGATGAATCTGAAATCTACAACTACCAACGCATTCTACTTTCGAATAATAAATTCATTAATGGAATCTTGGGGGGTTCGCTTGACCTGGCTTGACTGTATAACTCTCTTTTAGTTTTATCATAAAAATCGTACACTGGGTATCCTGGATTTCACAGATTCAGAGCATGAGCCTCCCCAGACTAATCTTAGAGCACAGCACTGCAGAAACCACTCATCTATGTTACTGTTCCCTTGGTACCAAAGTTTGAAAACATCATATCCTTACTCTATAGCATGCCTGGACACCTCTGTAAAGAGGACACTTGGCTTTGACCCTTTGGTATCTGTATCAAGAAGATTTTACCAAGTACATTGTAGAAGAAACAAAAAATCTAATACGATGAAATAAAAGAATATTAACATAAACAACCTAACCAACAGTAATTATGAATTTTTTTACACAAACTAGTGGATATTATCCTATTTCTCCTTTATTATGGCAAGAACATGAACTTTACCCCCTTGGAGTTAATTTTTTGAAAAATGTCAAACTCTTCACAACAGTTTGACTTAACTGGCTTATTATCTATTTACATCGCCTTTGTACATTTGTTAAGGTATAAATATTTATTTCTCCCTTCTCTTTTTCATATTTAATTTATCTGCAGCATTCTTCCATCCACATATCATCATCGCTCAACTCAGTGTCTTCTTTTGAGTTGGGAAGAGATCCCCACAACATTATTTGAATTCCTACAAGCAAACAGAAGCATTAAAATTATTTGGAACTTGTCATATGGTGCCTCGCAATAAGGCCCAGTTGAAACAAGAAACTTCTTCATGGAATCCTAATCCCTTCCATTTAGTACATGAAAAGATCAGCATTTGAATCAATAAAGTTTAGGCCAACCCATGAATTAAGTTTGTGTGACCCACATGAGAATTTTAACTGTGCAGTGACTTTGCTTCAAATATTGCTTTCATGTGCTAAATCTTGTTCATACAATTGCTATAAGAAGCATTGTACATCGTGAAAATGAATTGCGTCCGACTTATAAATTTGAGATGTTTGAATCAACTGTCAAACCTGTATCATCAGTTTGGTCGACCCAAATAAGTATTCAGTAAGGTACATGAAAAGTTTGACCCCTTGAACTGGGCCTAAGCTGCCTTCACGAGCTTGAGCTTGAGTGATTTTGCTTCACCCATGCAATAGTACCAAATAATTAGTGCCTATCAGTCTCGAGTGATGAAAATTTTAGAGTGTAATGCTGCATAAATTTTTTTTTTGTCGCCTTTCTCTATTCCACGGGTTATTAAAAAGGAGATTAGCTACGATTTATTCCCAACTTATTTACTCGTCATCTGTTACGGTTATCAATGCAAAATGTGGTCATATCACGTCCAAAAGTTAGCATAACAACACCATAATCACCGGAAATAAATACTGTAACTTATTACAGACAAAAAGCTGAATAAAGTGCCAAACATCAATGATGTCAACTCATGACATCAAACAATTAAACAGCTGTATTAGAATCTCCACGTGCTTTCCCCTAGGTCCACTGTGAGGTTTTCATTTGTACCAGTACAAGATATCAATCTATTACGGATTTTTACCTGTTTGATCCAATCTTTCGACGGGCGTAACAGCGCTGGAGTGAAACATCCAGAAATGGCCGTTGTTACAGGAACGAATACAGGATTGACATGGAAGAGTTACATGGTATCCGACAACATTTCCGCTGAAAATTGAGACAAATACAGCATAAACGAGAGTTCAAAATCACAACTAACTATTGAAAACATGACATGAAGATTTACCCAGAAAGGCAATTTTGAAAAGAGAGGCAAATAAAACACGATTCATTGATTTGAAGCTTACCATCCGAGGCAGGCAACATCTTTGATTCGACAATCACAGTTTTCTGTTGAGTAATCTGTTCCAATCAGCTGAATAGCACTACAAAGAAATGCGAAAATAATATAGGTTATCCGGTAAGAAATGGACCAGCTTTATCCTTATTTACAAAGAAACACAACCATTAAACTTACTTTTCTGGGGGCAAGTCAGTCGAGTAGAGTTCCACTTTGGTGTCGGCCAACAAAAGCGCCCTCATTCCACGAGCACAAATGTATCTTTCGCAATACTTGCACTCTAGTTTGACGACCGTTTTACTCTGAAACGCGGGGTGTATTCTTCGTGACATCTCCTTCGTTAATTTGGCTGAAAACAGCAATTTTTGACTCAATTCAGGACGTAGAACCTCTCCACTACAAAGTTGCTACAAAATGGCCGTTCTCAGACAAACAGCTTGGCTGTTTTAGGAAATACATGAATCTGATTGGTTGTTGCCTGGTGACGTTCACGCCTTACTTGGCCTTTAAACTTTAAAAATGGAAAAGTGAAACGCGACGCGTAAATTTTACACGTTTTTAGCATTTTAATATTCAACGTGCAAAATATTAAGACTCCTCAGGAAGGGAAAATAAATAAGAATACACTCTTTAGGAAGCCATGCATACCTATCGGTTATTTTCAGAGGAGGCTGGTAAACTTTGCAAAACTCACGTACGTCCTTTGTACTTCCTTCTGTTCAACCGGAAATGCGTTTGTGTATGCTAATGTGGCCGCGTAATGTCCAACTATTAAATGGTCTATTATCAATGCTGCGTTCTGATTGGCTGAGCTACTACTAAGCTATATGTTATAGCCCACTAGTAGCGAAAAGCGCCCGCTTTGAAAACCAAAACAACGGAGGCTGAATCGCGTTTTGCTAGCTATAGTTGTTTTGTCTCGACATTTTTGACCAAATAGTTGGATTTTACTGAAACAATTATTCCTCTCGCCCTCATGGCCTCTGAGTCAATAGCCCATGAGGCCGCTATTGACTCAGAGCCCATTCGGAGTCGAGGAATAATTGTTAAATATGCTTTTGTTTTCACGGTGTATGGTGGTATCGTCTACAATACTTTAGAAGTCTCACTGGTTCTGATTTTTTCGCTATTTATATTGATTGGGACCAAACAGTTTTAGTAACTTTTCCCTGAGAGAATTCCCTTCATTCCACTTGCCCTTTGTCTATTTTTTTTTTTTAAAATCAAACTTTTACTCAAACCTATATCTTTCTATATATGTATGTTTTTTCAAAGTCAACCAAATTTTTCCCAAACAGAGTTTTAATTTCTTGCCTCGACCGATAATGACGTCACCCTGACGTCAATATTTTAACAAAATAATTCTGCCCCAGTCCGTGCTCGATCCAAGGTAATTCACACCTCAAAATGGCGGGCTGCAAGTGTTGTCTGTTACTGGGAATTTCTTTGTGATTTTTCTGTTTTTATCATGATCACAATGGATGGGTATAAAGGCAGACAGATAGCTTGTCTTTTTATGACTTGGTTAAGTTATGCATCGACATATTTACTTCGGAAACCTCTTGGTGTGGTAAGTATAAGAGCTCTTTTGTCCGACGTGACATGACACGCTCTGAAATGTATTACGTGAATTCTCTGAATAATGCCGTCTTTGCAGAAAAGAAACTTTTGTTTAACCTATTAAATTTTTTAAAGGGTTAACATTGCCTTCCAATTAATCCTTGATATCTGTATTTTATGATAAACTCATGAGAAGCGGATTTACATTTATTAAGATTCCATCTATACGAATCTTTATCCTGGATACATCATCGGGTGAAATGGTTAAATTGTTCCCGGGACATTTACTTACAGGCATTTAAAGTTTCAAGGTCTGTCATATCGTCCATTGTTATTCTAAAATGCTAAGGAAGAGGCAATTTCATTGGTTACCATGAACGCAATGAAGCTAAGTAGGCAGGTTAAACTAACAATGTAAAATATATAGCCGAATCGCTCTGTTGTTTTTCTTTTGTTTGGAAAAATCACACCTGTACGCCTCTAAATGACTCCAAGCATAACTGTTAGAAGTACGAACAAAGCGCTACAGAGAATCTATAAAATTACTGCATGTCGAAATCCAGGTTCAACGAACAAAATAACTGACTTTATGATGACTGGGAAAAGGTTTCTTTCAATTCCACTCAGTACAGCTCTGAAAAGCTCGGGCTGCTTTTCATTTTCTGCTAAGTGACATGACGATAGAAAAATGATGGAGTAAGGCATTTGCTTTTAATAGACTACATGCACGCTGAGATACCACAACAATAATAATTAAGTAATTGTGTTCTCTCTGTCCGGCTACCAAGAATCATTTATTTCACTTTGACCCTCAGCGGTCTCCCGAATAGACCCGGCAGACGTACAATAATGTGTGACAAAAGCACTTAAAGGGAGTTGTTAAACATGCTACATCGGTAAGTGACATCTATGGTCAAAAAGAGTAGTGCGCGGTCAAAAAAAGAGAAAAAAAGGCATTGTATTAAATGCAAATGGCAAACTTTCGAGTAAAATAAAATCAATCTAAAACTTTATAGAGCCGTAGCAAAACCCTAACTGTATCATTAGGCAGTCGCAGTTTTTTTTATTTTCTGTCAAGTTCGCGTCCCATCGGCCAATTATGAATATTTTGTCAAATAATTCAGGATCCTCATTGACGCTTTTCGATCCTGTGGCAAGTCTTTGCCATAGTATGTGAACATATAAATATTCCTTTTCCGGTCTCAGATGACAACAGACTTGTTACTTGTTTATAAAATGGAGAAACATGATCACCCACCTAAAGGCTTTTACAAGAGCCAACTGCCCGTAGATTTCCTTTTTCGATAGAAGTTGATGTGAGAAATAACCAAACATTTTGGGAGTCTTTCAGGCTGAATGAGTCATTTCCAAAAAATCAGGAATGGAAAGCCTATGTTTTTGCTTCAACGGTGGGGATACTGTGTGCGAGTCAACACATATGTTTCTAAGAGCTCTGAAAAGAGCCCCCGTTTGTTTTTTGCTTTCTGCAATTTCAGTGTTATTCATTCCACGATCTAGCTGGCAGTTCGAATGAGTCAGATGTCACACTGTATTGGCTTTAAAATTTGCGGCAGTTGTGAGCTTTTTTTTACAGCAGAGTGGTTTTCTTGAATGGGCATTGTCTCAGCCTTGGTAACCATTGTTATTCAGTTTTGGGCTTAGGACAATAGCTCACTTGCTCAAGACCCTGCATTTTTGAAGACAACTGTCACCAGAAGTTTTCAAAGTGAAATGGATAGTGGTTCTACTCAACTGATTTTCAAAATTTAAACGGATTCTGTTTGAGAAAAGGCCAATCTTTCATTTGCCGTGCATAGGTTTTTTAAAAGCAATGTAAATTTCCACAAAATCTTTTTGAAAATGGACTTCACACTAAAAAGGCCTTTTTTGCTGTATTTTCAATTGCAAAAGGATAATGCTTACTCTAGTTCAATCTCCTTTGTTTTAGTTTAAATTGCAAGTACACCATTCTTGTTCATCTCTAATGTTTGTTCTTCTAAAATGCTTTAAGATTTCAAACATTCCCTTGCATATTTTTGTGTTTGTAAAAATTATCTGAACTTTATAAGATTAAGGGTTACTTCTGTGCTATCTTGACCAAGTATGCTACTTACTGTTGTGCGTACACTTGGGTTTCTTCCAATAATAGCAAAATTATTTTGCTCACTCCTTCAGGGTTGTCACTGAGATTTCAAGTTGCCGGGTAAATACAACAAGTTGGCGGGGAATCAAATGGCTAGGGATTTCTTTTGGTTCTATTTTTCTTCTATTTTCCAATAAAAGTAGCCAGGGAAAATCCCCGTCCCCCGGCTCTAAATGACAACCCTGTCCTTGTAGAGAAAGGGAAATAATGCACACATCCAATTTATGCATTGTTATTAGGTTTCTTATTCAGTTAATGTTCAGTGGCCTGAATTATAGTCTTGTGGACCCACTTTTCAACATCAGTAGACTTGTAAAGCGAAGTGGAAAATATGAAATTGTTTATTGCCAGAGACTGTCTGGCAACTTAACACTGTAATTTTTTAACTGTTTGTTTTGATAGGTCAAAGCAGATCTGGCAAATGTGTTCCATCTCTCAAAGACTGAGCTAGGGTTTTTAGACACTGCTCTCCTCCTTCCATATGCCTTTATGCAGGTATTTACTTTTATTTTGTGCACATTGCTGGTCTTTCTGGTTTCTGGTTGTTGGTTTTTTGGGGGGTTTTATTTCAATTTTTGAAAAGCATGTCCATCCCATTTGAAGTCCTTGAGAAACTCTCTATTCCTGTCCCAGAACACAAGTCAGGAAAAGAGCATTTTGAAATGCTTAAGGTGGCAGGGAGGGTTAGGGGGGACACCTTGGGCTCATTGATATGCATTTAAACTCGTCATCAATAGATGAGCTTGGGCATTGGTGCCTACAAAGTTGGTGGAGCCAGGCAATGCTCTAGTATTAGGAGGAGGTATCCATGGCAACCCTGTAAGCGGCCCCCACCAGGCACCGTCACATTGAACAATTCAGTGGAATACTTACTGACCAATACTTACCTGGCCCTCACCTCAAGAGGGAGGGAGGGATGGGAAAAGCAAAAGCACAAAATGGCACACAAACAACAAGCTATTGCAACAACACTTTGCAAAGAACTGAAGCAAGCAACTTCGTATATAAGTCACAAGGTGCCCCTGCTAGAGGCATCGGGCCACCCCAGAATAGCTGGAAAAACTGCTGTCCCAAGAGCGACAAACATTTGTTTTCCTCTAACAATCAATACACAATCAAGAGAAAAGGTTGTGAGAATAGATAAAATAATCCCCAAAGGACAAATGCTTTGAACTTTTATCAAATTCTGTCAACTTATTCTTTATGGAAATGCACTGAGACCCGTTTGGAGAAATTGTATGTGGATATTGGGGCTAATTAAAGGGTTAAAAGCTTGACACCTGCTTGTTTTGCAGATCATGTTATCATCACTTGGTGACAAATATGGACCTCGAGTAGCACTTGCTGGCTGCCTTTTAGGGTCTGCTTTATCTATGGTAAGCATTGATCATTTTTGATTTTTT